CCAACACCCATCTCCCCGCGCAGGCCCTGCCCTCCCCTCGCTCCCCAGAGGAATGGAGTCTCCAGGGGGGTGCACCCCCGCCCACCCCCGGACCCCGCCAGACCAGAGGCCGCCAGGAGCTGGCATTATGGTCCCTGCTCTTCGTCATGATGGAGACACACAGGCCCTGCCAGAGGCGGGGGGAACCAGACCCTGTGAGCAAGAGGGCTGGACCAGAACTCAGACTGGAGCCCAAGCCCAGAGTCTAGGACCAGAGCCCAGGACCGGAGCCCAGGACAGGAGTCCAGGCCCAGAACTCAGACCAGATCCCAGAACCCGAACCCAGAACTGGAGCCCAGGCCCAGAATCCAGGAGCAGAGCCCAGGACTCGAACTCAGGACCCAGAGCCCATGCCCAGAGTCCAGAACCCAAGCCAAGGACCCAAGCCTAGGACCGGAGTCTAGGCCCAGAATCCAGGACCAGAGCCCAGGACCGAAGCCCAGGACCGGAGCCCAGGACTGGAGCCCAGGACCGGAGCCCAGGACCGGAGTCTAGGCCCAGAATCCAGGACCAGAGCCCAGGACCCAAGCCCAGGACAGGAGTCCAGGACCCAAGCCCAGGACCGGAGCCCAGGACCAGAGCCCAGGACTGGAGCCCAGACCCTACTTGTGCAGAGCCTCTCAGGAGAATAATTCAGCTCACCCAACCACCCACGTACCTACCCTCCCGTTCACCCTTCCGCCCGCCCGTCCAGTCATCACCCGTCAGTCCATCCGTCCACTCCTCCGTCCACCCGTCCTCTCGTCTGTCCACTCACTTCAGCTCTCATCCGTCCATGCAGCAGCACCCGGCCGTGTGCCGGCTCCGTCCCGTGTCCCGGGCAGTAGGGCTACAGCAGAGTCCTCACAGGCTTGGCTGGGGCCTGGCATTTGGGGTGGGTACAGACCAGCACACGAGTGTGGCCTGGGGAGACCTGTTAGAATACACCAGAACCCGGCTGAGGGACGGACGGCTTTCTCCCCACCGAGAGCCTGCCCGGTCACCGGCGGGACTCGGTCTCCCAGGAGGGAACGGCACTCCCGACCCTGCTGGCAGGGGCCGCTTTGGAGCTGGCTCCACCAAGTCCCAGCTCCGTGGAGGGCAGGGCCTCAGCTCGCCCGCTCAGGATTTCTTTGTTTAGAAAGAAAGACTTTTGCTATGGGGAGGTGCGCTTGCCGGAGAGACAGAGAGACAGGAAACGAAAAATAACCCCAGGGGATGGCCACGCTCTGGCCCAGAACCCAGGACCATTCTCCTCTCAGGATTCTGGGAACGCACGCGCACACGTGATTCTCAGGCTCTGGGTCCAGGACTCAAACCGTGGTCAGCCACATGGGAGTCCAGCACCTCAACCACATCACCTGCTGGCCCCCTGGATGGGATTTTTTTAATATAATATGCCTGGCCCCACTTCCCTGAGACTGTTTGAAGGAGTCTGCAGGAGGGCTGCAGCGAGCCTCGGGGTCAAGCTCTAAGCCCCTCAGGTGGCCCTGACGCGAGACCAGGACGAACCAGTGCGGTGCAGCTAAGCAGTGGCTAGCCCACCAGGACTCTGCCCGCTCACAGGGGTGCGTCTCTGAGAGCCACGTCAGCGACTGAGGTCGGCCAATCGTGCCTGTCAGCCCTTACCCTTGGGGTCTGCGGGCTCCCGCCTGGTCGCCACCGTCTCCGAAGTCCCCGGGCCACCAGTCTGCAGAGCGGACTGCCTGTGCCTGGTACAATGTTCAGTCAGGAAACTCCGAGCACACGGGCCACGTGGGGCAGGAAACTCCGAGCACCTGGGACACGTGGGGCGGGAAACTCTGAACACGCGGGACACGTGGGGACAGAAACTCTGAACACGCGGGACACGTGGGGCGGGAAACTCTGAACACGCGGGACACGTGGGGACGGAAACTCTGAGCACACAGGATGCATGGGGCAGCCGACGACAGGTGCGGTCCTGGCTCTCCTCGAAGAGCATTTGTCCATGTGGAGGAGCACAGGCCAGGGGCCAGCTGGGAGCCTCGGCCACACAGAGGGTGGCGTGGAGCGTGGAGGGACGGCGTGGACAGGCACCACGGTGGAGAAAGCAGGGCCGGGGCTGCCGGTCACGCCCGAGAGCCCCGAGTCCGCCTAGTGGCCCCAGTGCCCTGAGATGGATGTGGTGTGTCTGTCCCCTCCCCAGCTGTGGTCGTGAGCCTCCCCCTGCTGAGTCTGGTGGCTTCCTGTTTCTCCTTACATTTGTAGGCTCGGGAAAGAAAGGCGATTTTTTTATTTGCGAATCTTGACATTTATTAGCATAATAAAATTCTTCAGATGAAATTGCTGTTTTCCGGAAAGTAATTTCATTTGCAGGACAACGTACAGGAATTCACGTTAAGGCCAGGTAAACCTAAAAGATAAGCAGCGGGCAGGAGAGCAGCCGGACAAGGCGGGCTGGACGGGCAGGGTGGGGGACCAGCGGCCGCCC